GAGATTATGATGAAGCCATGCAAGATAATCACAAGATCATTAGATCGAAGCGATGGAAGATGAGATGAAGTCACTCCATGAGAATGGCACATATGAGTTAGTGAAATTGCCGAAAGGTAAGAGAGCTTTATCTAACAAATGAATATTCAGAATAAAGCAAGATAACCATACCTCTGCGCCTAGATACAAGGCGAGGTTAGTTGTTAAAGGTTTTGGCCAGAAGAAGGGAGTTGACTTTGATGAAATTTTCTCCCCTGTTGTGAAGATGTCTTCTATTCGTGTGGTTCTAGGCTTAGCCGCAAGTCTAGATTTAGAGGTTGAGCAGATGGATGTCAAGACTACTTTTCTTCATGGTGATTTAGATGAGGAGATTTATATGGAGCAACCTGAGGGTTTTGTAACTAAGGGAAAAGAAAATTATGTCTGCAAATTGAAAAAGAGCCTGTATGGATTGAAACAAGCTCCAAGGCAATGGTATTTGAAGTTTGAATCTGTCATTGAAGAACAAGGGTACAAGAAAACTTCTTCAGACCATTGTGTATTCTTCCAGAAGTTCTCTGATGATGATTTTATTATTTTATTGCTTTATGTGGATGACATGCTTATTGTTGGAAAGAATAAATCCAGAATCGCAGTCCTTAAGAAGCAGTTGAGCAAATCGTTTGCGATGAAGGACTTGGGGCCAGCAAAGAAAATCTTGGGCATTCAAATCCACCGACAAGAGACAGAAAGGAGTTATTTCTGTCCCAAAAGCAATACATTGAGAAGGTACTCAAGAGGTTCAATATGACAGATGCAAAAGTGGTTAGTACTCCTCTTGCTAAACACTTCAAATTGAGTATTAGTCAGAGTCCATCTACTGATGAAGAGAAAAAGGAGATGTCTCGTATTCCTTACTCTTCTGCCGTTGGTATCTTGATGTATGCTATGGTTTGCACTAGACCAGATATTGCACATGCCGTTGGCACTGTTAGCAGATTCATTTCCAATCCTGGAAAAAACATTGGGATGCAGTAAAATGGATATTAAGGTATTTAAAAGGTACTGCAGATTTGAAGCTGTGCTTTGGCAATGGCAAGCCTGAACTTGTTTGTTACACAGACTCTGATTTAGGAGGCAATCTTGATAATTCAAGATCCACTTCCGGTTATTTGATCACTTTTGCAGGGGGAGCTGTTTCTTGGCAATCTAGACTACAGAAGTGCATAGCTCTATCCACCACAGAAGCCGAATATATTGCTGTCACAGAAGGTGCCAAAGAACTATTATGGATGAAGGAGTTTATTAATGATCTTGGCTTTGAGCAGCCACGGTACATCTTATTTTGTGATAATCAGAGTGCTATCTGTCTCACCAAGCACTCCACTTTTCATTCTAAGACCAAACATATAAATAGAAAGTATCACTGGATAAGAATGGTCGTGGAAGAGATATTATTTGAGGTTGAGAAGATACACACTGATGAAAATCCTTCGGATATGCTGACAAAGGCGGTGGTTGCAGATAAACATGAATTTTGTAGAAAATTGGCAGGTATGAAGCCTGTCAATAGTTCCTCTACTTGAAGACACATTTGGCCCCTTGGCTGGAGGGGGAGTTTGTTGGGCACATGCCCATGTTGTCCAGCCAAAGGCCCAATGGCCTAATCTTATTCTCTTTTGGTTTCCAATCCTATTTGGAATTGGATTCGGTTTATTCCTATTTTGAGTGGGTTTTTGCTTTAAGAGAAAGCACCACTCATGATCTATAAATAGGACAACATTGGAGAATTATTCTATGCTCATTGATACAAGTCTTTGAAAGACTTAAGCACATAAGAGTGGGTTTTGAGAGAGCTTTCATCAAGAGAGAAGAGAGGAAAAAAGTATTTGTTTTGCTGCAGATTTTTATTCCGACCAGCCAACTTCAAATTACATATTCCGATTCGTTAACCGTTGGATCGGGCTGAAATTTTGACTGAGTGTTCGTAACATCTTGGTCTTGGATTAAAACGGTGGAGATCGGATTTGGAGGCTCGTAGCATCTGATTTCGAGCCTCGAACAGCAGCTTCGTTTTGTGGATTATACTCTTTCTTCAATTGATTAGTTGTTGCTCTTGTTGCTCCGTGTTTGGCCCTTGTTGTATAGCCAATTTGGAGAACTTTTTTAACCCTCTTATTGTTATAGTGGAGCTTTTTGGATCTTTGTGATCCCGTGGTTTTTACCTTCGATTTGAAGGGTTTTCCACGTTAAAATTTAGTGTTCTTTATCTTCTTTATTTTCGGATTTGCCTCTTCCTCGACATAACACATAGGAACTACACCTATGAAGTTGTGGAGATTCTTTCTGGTTATGTTGGGGATGCTGGTGTCAAAGTTGGTTACTTAGATAAAGTGAATGGATTTGTTAGCCTTTTTCAGCGAACAAAGATCACTGTAGCTGGTACATTCTTTGTAAAGCCAAATGAACTTTACAAGTTCTCTCATCGAATTCCCTCTTTCAACATGACTGGAACTGAACGAGAGGATGTACCTGGGGGATCATTTGAACTTGATCTGCTTCTTTACCCCTCAATCCAGATGATATTTGGTACCCTGGGAAAGTTATGGAAGGAAGCAGAACTTCAAATTCTCATCTCAACCTGTAGAAGAAGTTTGGTCTACTATTCTCTCTGGAACTAGAGACAAATCCAGGACATCTGAGGTTGCGACAACTCTCTGAAGTCTGAGAACTTGAAAGGCATCCATTGAGTCTTCTATGTCCATTGACTTGGAACTGAAATTTTCCTTCGTCAGTTGCTCCATTAACACACTGATGGCCTATTGTTCTCATCATTTTCTTGCTTGATGATTAAGATGGAACACACTTATAGGGAGGGTCGCACTAGCACAGGGGGCGGATGTAGAGTATGACCGCCGGGTTCATCTAAACCCAGTACTTTTCCCGCGGAGTATAAATTTATGTATAAAAATTCATTAAAATTGCAACAAATGGTAGGTCTGAACACATAACTTTAAAAATATAATGGGTTCAATGCTAAAAACTTTAAAAGTTGAACCCACAAAATCTAAATCCCGGATCCGCCTCTGCACTAGCACACATGAATTTGGAGTTTCTGGAAGAAGTTGTGTATTATGATGCCCCTCCCCCTTTTGTTATGGGTTTATACACCCAAGACTATATCAAGGGACTTAATATAGTAGTATAGTCCCTATGCTTTTGTAGAAACTCTTATATAGTAATATATATCCTTTTAAGCAAAATTAACTAGATGATATGTAAACATGACTGAAATTCTTTATCTTCTGCTTTACCTCAGTGAAAGGTGTTTTTCGCCAGAATTCACGAGTGTGGTTAGTACAAATCTTCAGATAGGCCACTATAGTTAAGAGAATTGCTGGAATTGTGGCTGAACACACTTTTGAATGCTATATGTTTGCAACAGTAACTAATAATATGAATTGGCCCTTTGCTATAAATCTGGTTAATAAATTGTATCTACAAATGGTTGCTGAAACATGTAGGGAGGATATTAGATGGACAACACTGTTCTTTTAAAACCATCTTGTTTTTTTTTATAAAAATATATCCCCTTTTGCCAGGTGAATCGGAAACTTGAAAGATTCAGAGCTGTTTTGTTTTCAATAAGCTATCATTATTAAGATACTCTCTGTCTCTTAATATGTGTCGTGGTTACTAAAAATAATTGTCTCAAATTATTTGCCATTTTAGAAATTCAAGACAAATTTGATTATGTTTTTCTTTTTTACCCTTAATAATTAATTATCTTAGAAGACTACAAACACATTACTTATGGATAATTTTATTCAAATACCAAGAAGTCTACCTTGTAATCTTAAACACTTTAATCATGTTTACTCTAATGCAATCAATATTTTAAATACCAAATGGTATTGTATCATCTTCGCAACTTGGCTGTGTATTTAAATCCACAAACAATTGATTCACAGAAGACATTCTAATAGCCCGTTTGGCCAAGTTGCAAAAATCAGCTTATTTTGAGAAGTGCTTTTCTTAAAAGTACTTTTGGTGAGAAGCAGTTTGTGTTTGGCTAATTAGTTTGAAAAGCACTTCTGAGCAGCAATTAGTGTTTGGCCAAGCTTTAAAAAACTGCTTCTAAGTGTATTTTTCTCAAAAGTGCTTCTCAAAAAAGTGCTTTTGGAGAGAAGCTACTTTTTTCTGTTTCTCTAAAAATGCTTCTGCTTCTCCTCAAAAGCACTTTTTTTCCTTCCAAAAGTCTGGCCAAACACCTCAATTTTTTGCCAAAAGTGCTTTTGGCAAAACAAAAAAAAAAGAAAAAAAAAAGCACTTTTTGCCCAAAAGAAGCTTGGCCAAACTGGCTATAACTCTTTGATAGGTATATTCAATATTTTGGTCAGGAATAGTTTCTGTAGTAATATTTGGATCAGGAATTTGTGGTCTAACACCATTAGCAACATAGCAGGCATATTTAGATTTATTTGGATTAATGGAAATTGATGACTTTGTGTTGGATTTAGTGAAGCATTTTCTTTTATAGGAAATTTTGGGTGGGGAATGTTAAATTTTAAAATGGGACTAAAGTAACTTTCAAGTTGAATTTTTTGGTTCCACAATAGTTTTAGTTGGAAAATTTTAAAAAAACGTTTGAAATTTTGTTTGAAGGAAAGATGAATATTATTTATTTGTTGAAAAAGTTTGCATTACTGATTTGTTAATTATCCTAGGTGTCTCTTCATATATTCTATAAAGCAAATCAATTACATTGACATTTAGTAAAAATATTGATAACGGAGATAACACATAAATTGAGAAAATATTTAATAAGGGTAAAGTAGTCAAAAACTATTCTTTCATAAGAGGCTTACCCAAGAGAATTATAACACATATTACGAGACGGAGAGAGTATATGATTAAGAATTAAAATAGATCTTACTAGAGATTATTTTGTTGTTTTTCTCCCTTCCTTCAATCTCAACTCAACAGATTTCTCCTTTGTGATGAATGAGGACTAAGTGGGCGTTTGGAGAATTTGTAAAATTCCAAAAAAAGTGAAAATAAATTTCAAGTGAAAATGATATTTGAAAAGTAAAGTTGTATTTGAACATATAATTTTGGTTATTTTTAAAGTTTTGAGAGTGATACGGAAGAAGTAGTAGAAAAACCACAATAAATTGTTTTTTGTAAAATAAGTATTTGGTAAAACGTTTTAAATCTTCTTCACATGACAAAGAAAAGGGGCAGAAAACCTCCTCAGTCCTCTGGTTAAAATTTAATTATCAGCACTCTGCAGCTGAGGTAACTTTTTTTCGTTGCTCGCTCCATTCTCTACTAGTAGAATGAGATTATTTTGAAGTACTGAATTAGAAAGCGAAAAGGGTGAAGCTTGGTACTCAAAACCAGCTTCTTCTTTCTTCTCTTGCAAATTTTGTGCGGAAAAAGTTGTTTGAACTTTATTATTTTTAGAAAGACTCTAGTCCTTGCTTCAAGTTTGAAACTTTTTCCTTTCCTAGGGTTTCTTTATTATCCTTTTACACTTACTGGAAATCTAGAAGGTTTAACATGCTAGTCTTCTATGCTAATTTCATGTTTAACAAACAAAGTGTGTGTTTGGTACGAAAGAAAATGTTTTTTAACTTTTGCATATTTGGTTTGGTACTCATGAACTCATTTTCCATGTTTTCAGTACGAAGGAAAATATTTTTTAATTTTTTCATGTTTGGTTTATTACTCATAAACTCATTTTCCATGTTTTTCGGAAAATATTTTTTAAAACTTCTTCCCATCCCCACCAACCCCCCACTCCACCCTCACTTACTCGCCCCTCCATCCCATCCTATCCTAAATAAAAATATTATTATTAGTATTTTTTTAATGTTATAGATAGTTTTTTTTAATTTCAACAAATGAGTTTTTTTTCATGATTTAAAAAAGTATTTTTTTTTCATTTTAACCAAAAAAATACTTTCTTTTCATGTAGAAAAAAGTATTTCTTTTAAATTCAACAAAATAAGTAATTTCTTTTATTTTAATAAAATGAGTACTTCATTTTCATGTGGTAGAAATACTACTTTCTTTTTCAACCAAGAGTATTTTCTTTTTGGTTATGGCCGACAAATTTCAACGTTATTTTTGCGTAAAAAAAGAATAAAGCAACACATTAGTTACTTTGAGTTTGTGTGAATTTTTAGAGACTTGGGGGAAGGGGGTGAGGAGGGGGAGGAAGAGAATAGTATATAAAAATATTTTACTAAAAAAATATTTTGTACTCTCTAATCAATAGACAATATTTTTCGGAAAAAGTTTTTCACTCACCAACCAAACAAGGAAAATAAGTGATAAAATCACTCATTTTTCATGAAAACATTTTCCCAAACGCACCCAAAAAAATAGCTAACTTTCCCATAAAATTTGTCGTGTGATAAAATCATTCTTTGAGCCCATTTTGAAAATTCTGAGTGGATAAAGTTTAGTAAAAAATTTGAAACTTTTTTTATTTGTTTGGGATTCCATTTTGACGCCCTATTGCACTTTGATGAATTCCTTCGTCTTATATGGTAGTGATATGTTTAATCTTATCTTTCATATTGATATGACGGGGATATTCTGCTTGAGATAACCTTCATAAGTGGGTTACTTTTTTTGCTGACATACATTTAGATTATGCTTTTTCTTCCTACAGCCAAAAAATTTATCGACTTGCTTGTTTTTGAGTCCTATCCTGTATTTAGAATTTGGTTGTTTAAACCTTGAGATGTTTTACTTAAAGGAAAAAATGCTTATAAATCTTATGGATTACTACTATTTTAGTATATTCAGCCTTGATAAGTAATGTCGTTGTCATGTGACCAGGAGGTCATGGGTTCGAGCCGTGGAAACAGCCTCTTGCAGAATGCAGGGTAAGGCTGCATACAATAGATCCTTGTGGTCCGGTCCTTCCCCGGACCCGCACATATGGGGAGCTTAGTGTACCGGGCTGTATGTATGAGCCTTGATAAGTAACTCACTTTAAATTCATTTTATTTCTTGATCAGGTTTTAGTTTTCCAAATTGTTACCCTTCTCACGGAAAAAAGAAAAGAAGTTTTGAAGATTGTTACTGTTTCTGTGGTTATGTATATGATGGGAACTGAAGATAAAACGCTGCTTTGTTACTGTCATTGGGGAAGAAAGAATAAGGTGCTACGAGATGGATCCATTTTGTATATGGGAGGTATTACTGATCTGATTATTATGAAGACAGGTATAAAGTACAATGATTTTGTGAATGCAGTTTTTGACCAATTAGGCATTGATCCTTCAGATAAGATCTTGCATTTTACAGTGAAGTTTGATAGGTCCGAATTGATACGGCTGAGGGATCAAGAAGGTGTCGATACCCTGTTACAATTTAACGATGGTTTTGCTCATGTTTATGCATCGAGTTTGAAAAAGGAGCTTTATTTTAGACTGCCCTCATGTGCCCTGGAAAAAGTTGAACTTATTGGAAAAGCAATTTCTGATAGTAATCCTGCACAGGTGTATGATTATCCTGATCCTCAATTCAGTGATTTTGACAAGCATAAAGCAGATAATTGCTTTGCAGTTGACCAAATCTGGGCGTGCTATGATACGGATGATGTTATGCCAAGATTCTATGTCCACATTAGGAAGGTATCCATTCCTGAATTTAATGTGATTTTCAGTTGGCTCGAGCCTCATCCACAAGATCAAGAAGACAGAGCTTGGGTCAGGGCAGAGTTGCCTGTTGCCTGTGGGAACTTTAAACATGGGTGTACTGATTCCACTTCTGTTCGACTTACATTTTCTCATCAAGTTCAGTGCGAAATGGGCAAGAGAGGTTTGTACGTTGTATATCCTAGGAAAGGGGAAGTGTGGGCACTTTTCAAGGACTGGGATATTTGTTGGAGCTCCGATCCAAAGAACCATAGGAAGTACAAGTATGTAGTTGTGGAGATTCTTTCTGATTATGTTGAGGATGTTGGTGTCCAATTTGGTTACTTAGATAAAGTGACTGGTTTTGTTAGCCTTTACGAGCGAACAAGGATTACTGTATCTGGTACATTCTTCGTAAAGCCAAATGAACTTTACAATTTCTCTCATTGAATTCCCTTTTTCAAAATGACTGGAACTGAAGGAGAGGATGTACCAGTGGGATCGTTTGAACTTGATCCTGCTTCTTTACCCCTTGATCCAGATGATATTTGGTACCCTGGCAAAGTTAAGGAAGAAAGCAGGACTTCAAATTCTCAACTCTTAGCATGTATCAGCAAGGATCAGAGAACACCTGAGAATGTGACGACGTCTCTGAAGTCTGGGAACTTGAAAGGCATTCATGCTACTGATGGAGAGTCTTCTATGGAGGTTGACTTGGAACTGAGATTATGGTGTGATGGGACTCAAGAATGAATTGGTTCTCCTGGATTTAGAGAAACTTGGAACTGAAATATTTCTTCCTCTGTTGCTACATTAACACACATTTGGCCTTTTCTTCTCAACAATTTCTTGCTTGATGATTAAGATAGAACACAACTATAGAGAGGTTAATGCAATAGCACACATGAATCTGGAGTTTTTGGAAGTCCCTCCCCATTTTGTAATAGAGTAGGTTTATACACCCAAGATTATCAAGGCTTTAATATAGTAGGATAGTCCCTACGTTTTTGTAAAGACTCTAATTATATATATAATTATCCTTTTAAGCAAAAAAAGGAGAAGATTAGAAGGATCTGTAGACATGACAGATTCTTTGTCTTCCGCTTTACTCCAGTGAAGGTGTTCTTCGCCCGAATTCGCAGATGGTGTCATTGTAAATCTTAATATACGCCGTTGTAGTTAATAGAATCGCTGGCACTGGGGCCGAACACTTTTGTCTGGAATGATGTGGTTGCTGGAACATGTAGTGAGGATGTCAACGGACAAGCTTGTTCTTTTAGAAGGCATCTGTTGTTGTAATCTATCGTATTTTGCCAGGGAAATGGTAAACTTGAAAGTTTCAGCCTTTCAGGCTTGTCTTATTTTCACTTACTGTAATCATTCAACTTGAATTTGGAATTGAATGACGTAGTGACTTGGGTGAGATTGACAGTTGATTTCTTTGATGTTCATTGATTTCAGTGGCAGAAAATGATGATTTCCGAATAAAGATTGAGAAACCAAATAACTAAAGTGTCTCTTGGTTTGTATTGAGAAACCGGAAATCCTGAAATAAAGGTAACTTAAAAGAAGGTTGGAAGAGACCAAGAACACAAGTTGAACCCCTTTTCCCACTGTCTGTATGACCTCTATATTTATGTCAATCAAGTGTCCTGGTGAAAAATTTTGAAGGCAATGGAAGAATAACACAACAACAAAAAGGTAATGTATTGAAAAGTTCCTTGTGATGAAGTATTTGAGTTTGAAATGATTGACAAATAGATCAGTCATAGAACCAATGAAGAAGATATTCTCAACTCTGCCATGGTCCTTCTCTTCTTTAGCACTTTAACAGATACTCCTTTAAAAATTCATTTGACTTGTAAAATGTTCAGAAGAACACATTAGCCTGATATCAATGATATTTCACGTCAATTGTTTACTCTCTTTCTCTACTTTTTTCCCCTTCTCGAAAAGCTGAACAGTCAACTGAATGTTAAAAGAGTAAATGTTAGAGCAGAGTGAACACAGATGACGATAAGGGTATGTCGATTGTTCAGAGAATAGTTAAAACCAATGACTCGATTACAAGAGACCCTCATTAATACATCAAGGGTGGTACAGTTTCACCAGGAGGCGCTCTCAGCTATATGCAAAGGACTGCAGCCACACTCCATAGAGACCAAAAACCTATTTGGCATGGCAACCTGCAACATCAAGCCAGAAACATATTTTTAGGTGGCTCGAGCAGGACATTGAACCCATCAATTAATAAAATACATTTCCCCCAATTAATAAAATCCTCTCTATGCAGAACTAATGAAATCCGTAAAGTATAGTTTAAAAAGAAGCCTTAATGGAACAAGCTACTACTTCAAATGATCGAGTACATTTTGCTAGGATGTTCCAAGCTAATGGTGTCTACGACGATCCTTCTCCCGTGATGAATAAGACTGGTAGTCACGATCTGCATACACAGAAAGTCGTCAAGTACAGTCCATCAGGAGTCAGGACTCAATATCAGACAAATATATTGTTGTTTACCTCGAGAAGAATGATGTTTTGGTTTCTCCGAGTGACCTGAAATATTTAGATGAGCTTGAATAAGTTAAACCAGAAAAACTAGCCAATGAGAAGAGACTGGGCAATTCCCAAGCGTATCTGAATTTTGAGAAGTCTGGCATTAGACAATCACGAACAGTGCTTGAAAAAGCGATCACTTTGTTGCTTTAAGCGCAAAGCGACCAGGCATCGCTTTTCCCAGCCTGAGGCGACTCGACCGTGTGAAGCGTGCGCTTCAGTTGAAGAAGCAACGAAGCGATCACTTCTGTTAAAAAAGCGCAGAGGGCCCTTTTTTAAAAAAAAAAGTTTGGGTCCGTTTTTTTATTATACAAAACAGACCCCTAAGACCAAAATTGACCATTTTTTCTTCTCTCTTCTTTGATCGACAAAACCTAGGGTTTTAAGATTCTGCTATTTTTTTCTTCTCCTCCTTTTCTTCAGTTGAAGAAGACTCGACCATTGCTGACCAGTCCAGTCCGGGTAATTTTTCTTCTTCTTTCTTCTTCTCATTTCTTCTTCTCATTTTTTTATTTTTTCTTTCTTTATTCTTCTTGTTCCCGTCCAGGTTCTGCTATTTTTTTCTCTCTTTTTCCTTCTTTCTTCCTTCTTCTTCTTCCTTTATTTTTTTCTTTCTTTTTCCTTCTTTCTTCCTTCTTCTTCTTCTTCCTTTATCTCTGAACTCTGACCAGTCGCTGGACTGCTCAGCGTTGGTTTGATTTTTTTCCACCCTTTTGTTCTTCTTATTTATTAATTTTAATATGTATTTTAGTTTATAAAATTAATTATTATTTATATATGTTATATTTTTCAGTTTATTTGAAATTTTTAGTGTATATTTCAGTATATAAAATTAATTATTATATATATGTCATATTTTAGTTTATTTGATTTTTTTAATGTGTATTTCAGTTTATAAAATTAATTATTATATATATTATATGTATTTTCAGTTTATTTGATTATGTATTTTCTTATATCTTAATAGGGATTTCAAAATGTCTCAAAGATCGAAAGAGAAAGACCCGGCTTGGCGATATGGCGATAGAGTTAATGACAAATGTTGTATGCAAGTTTTGTAACAAGATTACAACGGGTGGAATTTATCGCTTTAAATTCCATCTTATTGGTGGCGATAGAAACATCACAAGTTGTCCGAAATGCCCACCGGAGGTGAGGGATGAAATAAGAATTTTGTTGAGAAGAAGGAGCAAAAAAATCAAATGAGTCATCGACCATTGGTGACCAATCTTGATGATGATAATGATGATATTGAAGAATTGTCACTCCCAACAAAATGGGGAAGAGATGCAATCTCTTCAAGCCATGGATCATCGACGGGTACGAGTAGGACTAAAGGTCCTATAGATTGCTATTTCCCAAAGAAGCCGGAAGCAAAGAGCGGTGGAAAAGATGTTCAAAAAATTGCTAAGGACATTTTAAGGGATCGTGCAGTTAGAGCTTTTGCACGATGGGTCTATGATGCTGGACTCCCCTTCAATTGTGTCAACTATGACACTTTTGGAGACTTTATTGAGGTCGTTGGTCAATACGAACCTGGAATGAAGCCTCCCACTTATCATGAAATCAAAGGTCGTTATCTAAATAAGGAAGTAGAGGAGACTAATAAAATTGTTGAGGAACATAAAGTTGTGTGGAACAAGTATGGCTGCTCCATTATGATGGATAAATGGACGGCAAGAACTGGGAAAATGATTATTAATATGTTGGTAAATTCTCCCAGGGGAAGTTTGTTTCTTGAGTCCATTGATGCTAGCGACTTATCCACTGACCACATCAAAATGTTCACCTTGTTTAAGAACACCATTGAAAAGATTGGCCCAAGCAAAGTTGTTCAAGTGGTCACTGATAATGCGAGTGAAAATGTGAAAGCGGGTGGCATGATTGAAGGAGCGTACAAGAATGTCTATTGGACTCCATGTGCTGCTCATTGTATCAACTTAATGTTCGGGGACATTTTCAAGGAAAAACCTTTCTCTCCGGTGGGCGTTAAGGTACATTCTTATATTTCTCAGTGGCCCTTGTTATTGAATATGATGAGAAGATTCACCAGACAAAAAAATTTGGTGAAACCGGGCAATACAAGGTTCGCCACTGCTTCTTGACTTTGCATAGTATCCACTTGCAAAAAGCCAATTTGAGAAAGTTGTTCACTTCAGAGGAATAGAGCAAGAGTAAATTTGCAAAGGAAAGTGCAGGGAAAGATGTTGCACGCATTATTCTTTCTTATTCTTTTTGGAATATTGTCCTTCATGCTCTTAAAATTGGTGGCCCTTTGGTTAAAGTACTCCGTTTGGAGGATGGGGAGCAAAAACCACCAATGGGCTACCTCTATCAAGCAATGGATAGAGCCAAGGAGACTATTCAAGCATCATTCACCGATGAGCAGAAATATGCAAAGGTCTTTCAGATCATTGATGCAAGATGGAATCAGCAACTTCATAGACCTTTGCATGCAGTTGGACTTATTCTGAACCCGTCACTCTTTTATGATCAACATGAGAATAATTCATTGGCTAGAGAAGCGTGGACAGGATCCATGAGGTTGTTATCAAGTTGACCCCAGATGAAAACTAGCAAGGAAAGATAGTAGATCAGCTTGCTATATACAAGGCAGCTAAAGGACTTTTTAAGCTCTGACTTGCTATTAAACAAAGAAAGACGAAGTCGCCATGTGACCAAGTGTTTCTATAATTTATAGCTCTAACTTTAATGTATTCTTTATACTTATTAACTCTTGAACATTTTTTTGACTTCTATAGTTGAGTGGTGGGACCAATATGGTGTAGAGACTCTGTATTTACAGACTTTCGCCATCAAAATTCTAAGTTTAACTTGAAGCTCATTCGGATGTGAAAGGAATTGGAGCGTTTTTGAACACGTGAGAAATAAAAAGAATTATTTTGTGTTTTGAGATAAAGTAAATTATATCTCAATTGTCCCAACTCCTACCAATTAGTTGACATATCTTGTTTGTAGATTCATACAAAGAAGAGGAATCGACTGACCTTGAAGCACCTCCATAATCTAGTGTTCATAAAATACAATAGAGCATTGAGACGTCGCTGCAACCACCGCAATCTAATTGATCCAATTCTTTTGGATAATATTGATGAGGCTAATGAGTGGCTAACTGAAGTCCCTGAAAATTGTGAAGATGAAGAAGTATTTGAAGGGGACTCTAATTTCACTTGGGGTGATGTTGCGGTTGGTAGTGGAGTTGGGGAGAATCCTTATGGTTTAAGGGGGAAAACTTCAAGTTCAAGCTCGATTAGGAAGGGAAAAAGTGTGGCTACTACAAGTCGATCTCTATCCCTAATTGATGAAGATGAAAGTGATCATGAAGAGGAAGAGGAGGGGGAAGAAGAAGATGACGAGCAATATGAAGAACAAGAAGAGTAGATGAATAAGATGTTGATTCTAGTAATTTAGTAGCTTTGATTTTGCTTGTCATATGGTTTGTGGAGGATTTGGTGGTACCTAGTACCTACTTTTAAGTTTTTAAATTGAAGTTATTGATTATTTATAATTTTATAGTGTGTCTTTGCAAGGTTTACATTATGTTTTTTTAAGAATTGCGCTTCACTTTAATAAGGCGTGCGCTTCGCTTTTGAAGCGAGGCGTGCTCTTGTCGCTTTTTTGCGCTTCTCGCTCTTAAAAACACTGATCATGAATCAACCAGAACGTACCTTTGTCTCTTGAACGATGACTCCTTTCCTTGGATTTATCCCTGTCCCTTTCAAAGTCTTCTCGCTCCCTTTCCCTGTCAGATTCCTTTCCCCTATCACGTTCACGAGACTTTAATCTTTCCTTATCCCTCTCTCTCTCCCTGTCTCTGCCCCTTTCCCTCTCTCTCTCCTTGTTCTTTTCTCCACCAGCATCTGTTCTATGATCAGTTTTTCCTGGCTCTTCTTTAGACTCCCCTTCTGAAGGCATGCTGCTTTTGGAGTCATCATCGCTCTTCTTTGAGTCCTTCAACTTATCAAGGGAAGCTTTCATTACTCCCTCCTTAGCCGCTTCCTGGTTTCCTGGTGTACCATTATCTTCATTCACCGGTTGACCATCCAACAAACCTTCCTATAAGAGGGGGTAGGGGGGAGATTAATATCAAATTGGAAGTATCCTATAGTGGATGGCTATCAAATTGAAAGACAGGATATGTGCTTTACCTTAGATACAGGAAGCTCCCGCGATCTGTTTGACGTAGCAAAGGAGCCTCCTTCCTTGCATACAGGAATATATTGTGCCTTTGGAAGACTGTAAAGATGAGCGAGAACTCTGCAAACTTCATCTATGCCAGCCTTGTCTGCATCAAATGCTTTCCACCAAGGAGGATTCTCTGGGAGCGGCACCTGAAATCTACGGGCTGCAGCATATACAACTCCACAGGCAACAACCTCGCTCTTGAATCTTACACAGAGTGTTGTGCGCAAGCTGTTCACAGACAAAAACACCCAGTAGGGTTTTATTGTTTAGAAACATTATCATTTCTGGGCAATAAGCTAAATAGAAACTTTAGACAAATTAATTATTAATCACTGAGTAATTAGTTAAGCTTAATCCAAGATTACCATGACATTTGTTATAAGAAAAAATGTAGATGCCAAAAGAAACAAGATACTTTGATCAAAGTAGAAAGAACTTCCCACAACATCCCAATAAAGGTTTGAAAAAGCAATTGTGATACCATGGGCAAAGCATTAGCTTGCCTTTTCAGATAATAACGATTGTGCTTTCTGAGTTCTCTTCTTACTTTGGTATAACAGTACCCTCTTACAGTGGCCAAAGAGTTACTGTATATCGGATGGCCTTATTTACATTCTTCAACTATATGTTAATAACACAAGGAAAAGGAAGTAGGCAGCACCTGATTTAATTTAAAACAAGCAATGACATAATAAAACAAAAGAGATGGTTATAATTTTCCTGGAAAAAAAGGATGAAGACAGTGTAAAAACCGAGGATTCCTCACAGCATAGAAAATTGGGAATGGAAAATGATAGGACATTACGAAAGAAAACAAATATCAAAATGCTTTTCCCACTACAGTGGCCAAAGAGTTACTGTATACCGGATGGCCTTATTTACATTCTTCAACTATATGTTAATAACACAAGGAAAAGGAAGTAGGCAGCACCTGATTTAATTTAAAACAAGCAATGACATAATAAAACAAAAGAGATGGTTATAATTTTCCTGGAAAAAAAGGATGAAGACAGTGTAAAAACCGAGGATTCCTCACAGCATAGAAAATTGGGAATGGAAAATGATAGGACATTACGAAAGAAAACAAAAATCAAAATGCTTTTCCCACTTATTGTCTTTTGATTACCGTTACATGACCTTTTTCATTTTAAGGATAGATATGGATCTTGAAAATTGTCATATATTGATCATACCTAGCATAAGTTATTACCTAAAAAATTTAACTAAATTTCAAGCTAATATCGGAAGTAATACAGCTTTTAAGCGTTTCAAGTTGACAACACAATGTAATATAAGAAGAAAGATGGCGGAAACACAGATAAATCTTAATCAACTTTAGAGTACTGGGCATTAAATGTCTACGATATACACAAAGGTCATCAGCCACTATTAAAACTTGTAGCAATTCAAGAAATACTTTCCGTTGTCAAAGGCTACATTAAAAACATATTCAGATAAACATAACAACATCTAACATACTCACCTGTCATTTGCAAGATTCCAAGCTTCTTGTCTCAATTTTGCAGGTGCTTCAAGAGTTGCAAGGTAATTTGATATAAATTTATGAGGATGCTCGACATGGCAGATGAAACCCATCTCTTTTAGAAGATGTCTCTCTGTTCTGATTAGGTCTGCTTTCAAATCAACGTATTTCTGCAAAAGAGACAAAAAATCTTTATCTTGTGTTATCAACTTGATGCCGTTACAACATGTAAGAAAATGCAAACTTGGTGGACACAAATGCATCT